TGCCTCTCCCTTCGTTTCCCAAGAATCAGTAGGAATTTACTGTGGGAGGAATCATTTTCCTCTAAGCTACTGAAGAGGAACCAGATGTGTTTGGCAAACAATTCAGCAAAATGTTGCAGCAAATATTATAGAAACTACAAATACACAATTATTTCCTAAATCCTCTTGTGTTTACTTCTTAAATTGTAACATAACTGACAGAACAACAAAGATATATATGGTAACCTTTAGCAACAGGCCACTACTCTGTAATTATAGTGGTATTGTGTCTGAGATATTGTTTGTAATTCCTTTTTTTTTTTTGTAAAAGCTTAATATTATATGCATAATTTAAACCATGTGCATTTTTTTGTAACATCAAATAATTGAAACAATAAACAGTATTAATTACAGTGCACAAGTTTTCTAAGATTGTGGTTGAAAACTAGTAGTATTTAGCACAAAACTGTCCCAGTCTAGGTCATTTATTATGCATATTCATATTCTCCCATGATTTTATGAAGATACTTGTGAGTGTTGTTGGTGTCTTAAAGATTTTAAAAACTGGATATATTGTGATTGAATTCTTCATAGAAATTAAATACTGCTTTTAATCTTGAAATCTTTAATTAGCAGAAAAATAAGTCTATGAATAACTTTAAAAGGTGAGCTACTCAACTAACTTATCACCCACAGTTTAAATTATGTAGTAAGTGTGGCAACTTTTCTAAAAATCAAAACACTATTACTCAATCAATATCCTTTTTCATCTGCAGTTTACCTAATTCATCAACACAATGTTAGTGACCACTTTTCACTGGATCTTTACTAAAACCCATCATGTGTGGAGCCAGCTAGTAATAGTCATGTTCAGAGCTCCATCAGTACCCGCACGCTTACAAGTCTGACTCGCTTATTGGCACGTACTGGCTTTGTCTGGGCATTCACTAGACCATGGACTTTGTTAATCTGTGCTCTCGGGCTAGTAGCAAATCCTCAACAGAAGCAGAAATTACTCTTGTGAAAGAATCTTAGCCCATTAAATAAAGATTTACTGTAGCTTATGTTTATTCTGGTTGATGTCATGTTAGACCTCCAGAAGATGATTCTTCTAGTGATGAAGCATCCCAGGAGTTGAAGGAATCCCTGAAAATAGACCCTGCCCCAGTGGAGCATCCAACCCATGGGAACATTCCATCCTACAAGAAGTCACTTAGACTGTCTTCGGACCAAATAGTAAGTGGCACGCATTTCTTGTGCATAGGATGCTTCACAATTCCACTCGGATTCTAAAAGTTGAACCTTCTGCTTTTCAGAAGTGACGTGTAAGTATGTTTCACAAACTAAAAAGTGATCATTGAGTTACTGTTTTAACAGTAGAAAAAAAGGAATGGAGAAATGTAAAATTTAAGAAGTCATTGAAGTATTTTCCTGTGCCAATGTGGGCAGCTGCAGGGAATTTTTGATGAATTTTTTTCTGTTGTGTTTTTAAGAATCAGTGTTTGGATTTAAAAATAATTTCTAACAAAGTTCTATAACCAAACTTCTGTATTAGGGTGTTGTCAAAAATGTGACAGTTTGGATATCCTGGTATCTGAACAGTCTAATAATGTGCATTTAAATTGATGTGCAGTTTATTCATTGCAGTCCAGCTTACAAGGTAGTTCTGTTAGTGTCTGAGGTATGGTCTTCATCAGGGAAGAATTTTGAGGAAAGTGTCCACTAAGTAGAAAATATTATTGCGTGCTTCAGCAAACGGGGAGTTTCATTTGATAGTACTCTTAAGTTTACTGTAATAGCAAGAATTAAAGTAGCAGAGAGTCAAATATCTGCTACCATAAGCAGAATTGGAAGTTATGGATAAATACATGTACCCAGCCTACAAAACAGGCACAGTTTTGATCGCAAATTCTATGTGACACCTTGGTTCATTTTTTGATGAGTTCATCAAAACAGACAAGGAAAAGTACATGAACCATTTTCTGTACCTTAATTATGATTCTAAAAATTTTCTAGTGGGCAACTTATATTTCCAGTTATTTTGATTTATTCTAAAGGCAAAGACAAAACAGAATTTGCGATCAAAACTGTGCCTATGTGACACCTTGGTTCATTTTTTGATGAGTTCATCAAAACAGACAAGGAAAAGTACATGAACCATTTTCTGTACCTTAATTATGATTCTAAAAATTTTCTAGTGGGCAACTTATATTTCCAGTTATTTTGATTTATTCTAAAGGCAAAGTTGAAGCTCAGAGATGGCCCAAATGATGTTGTATTTAGTATTACGACCCAGTATCAGGGGACTTGCCGTTGTGCAGGAACAATATATCTCTGGAACTGGAATGATAAAATCATCATATCAGACATTGATGGAACAATAACCAAGTAAGTATAATTGTGATTTATATTTTTCCTTTTCTTTGATTTTTTTTAATACCACTTTATTGGTTCTATCGTGCTTTATAAAATAAGTTAAAGAAACTTCATTTAAGACTATTTAAGAATTTTCATTAACAGTCATGAAAAAAGCTTGTTCCTTTGACTGTAATTTATACATGCAAACTAGAAAAATGTACAGCAAACTAGAAGATGTCTTTTAAAAGAATAATGCAAAGGTGATAATGTTTACCACAAGACTATTGCCCTTTCAGTTAGACTTTTCCAGGTTTAGCAGCCACAGGTTAACGTGGAAAATGACTTGTGCTGTATGGCCCCACTAATTGCTGTCTCTGGAGTAGCTGCTAATTCTCTTTCAAAATCATTAGGACCTACTGCAGAGATATTTCTGTGAACACTCATTATAAATTGTATTACCATCATTAATGATTGTGTTTAACAAAACCCATATACGTATTATCAACTGTCTCTGATTTTGCTTTTAGGTCTGATGCTTTAGGGCACATCCTTCCTCAGCTTGGCAAGGACTGGACTCATCAGGGCATTGCAAAACTTTATCATTCCATAAACGAGTGAGTATGTAGTCTAACAATCAGGGTTTTCTGGAATTTGGGAATTAATAGGCAGATAATTAGATTGTTGTTAATAATTATGCACTGCATTACGACTTGTTGGTCTAAATGTTGGGAAGTGAGCTACTTCTGTCATTCACAAAGAAAACTTAATTCTTTCCCCAAAGGCATATTTTTACAGGAGTGGAAGCCACTCCATTTGCTAGTTCTCTTCTCAAATGTTTGTTTCTGTATTTTAGTTCTTAAAACCTGTGTGTAATATTGTTGTGACTACAAAAGAGAACCATAATAGCAATAATTTCTCAAACAATCAAGCATGTGTCTCTTTCCACCAACTCAGGTTGAGCATAAAGTCTATTACAAATATGGTACTGTGTAAATTGAAACCTAACTTGTATCCTTCCAATGCATAAATATTTTGTGGTTTAGTGTGTTTGCTGCCAAACTCAAGTGAACACTCCCTAGGATTGATTTCATTTTCTGAAGCAAGCCTAGTTAATAGCTTGCCACTGTCACAGAGGGAAGGTTGGTGGCCTGGGAGTTTTCTGTCACTTTGTTGCACTTCTGACACAAGCCAAAGCAGTTGAGTAAAACAGCAGAAAAGTAATTCAACAAAAGGGCCGTTTCCCCTTCCCCTCTCTGGGTCAGTCGACTGAACTTGCTGACCGTGCCACCTGCGGAGGCAGCCCGTGTGCCTTCCCCTTGCAGCAGCAGGGAGGTGTTTCCTCAGTTCAGGTGTTGTGAACCACACCCTTACAAATGGACTGTTCTTCTGAGAGGTATCTAGGCTTATATGTAGCCTTACGTGTCCAGTAACTTAGGGCAGAATAAACCTATGTATTTCCTTCCCTTTCAGATTTGATCCTGTAATTTAGCAAACTTTCTTTCAAAAATACAGTGATTCCAGAAATAATGCTTACTACTGAGGAGGGTCACAGGATGATCAACTATTAAAAACTTCATGATCCATTTAAAATAATCAGTTTGAACTTTGTTTTTAAGCTTAGTAGTCTTCTTTCCCCAAAAATATTTGGGGTCTTAGAATCTGTTGTTGACCTTCATTCTGTGGCTAAATTTCATCTGTGGCCCCTTGCAGTCTCTGGGAGATAACCTGGAATTTTTTGTATTCAGTGCATAGTAAAAGAGTAGTTTTGGAATTATTTGTAAAATTGAATCAAGTCTTTGAAAATGCAGGTAAACACTCAAGCCTTTTGTGCATGCAGTAACTATGTACAAATCTGTGTAACAGATGAACCTACAAAGTGTGCAGGGAAATTTTGGGTGCTTGGTGAATGCTTCTTGTTATCTGTCCTTCACTCTGCACTCTGAATTCTGCCAACAAATGAAAAAAATTGAACAACTAAGACAAGAGATCTGGCATCCAATATTATGTGATGTAGATAATTTAAATAATGGCTGTCGTCCTACAGCTGGACTGTAAAAAGATGGATAAAACCAGTGTGGCACTTAAACGCAACCTAGTCCATCTAATTGTGTAATCTGAGTATTACACATTAGCCCCGTTCTTTTTTGCACTTCCCATTCCTCTGTCATATATTTAAACTATTATATGCCTTGCAGATATTTTAGCAGTGGAACTGTCTTTTCCGTGTGTGTAGAGCACTGCAATGAGTCAATGCCTAAACTAGTGCTTCTGGACATTGCTATAACCATATAGTCATGATTGCAAAGAAATTCTTCAGCAGG